AAAAAGAAGAGCAAGTTAAGCCTGAAGCTCATACAAGAAATCATAAGAATCAGAGCAGAAATTAATGCAACTAAGAAAACAATATAGATAATCAATGAATTAAAGAGTTGGTTCTTTGAAAGATTAAATAAAATAGACAAACTCTCAGCCAACTTTAGCAAAAGCAGGAAAGAAAAGACCCAAATTCATGTAATTAGGAATGGAAAGGATGAGATCACAACAGATCCTGCTGAAAATCAGATCATTACTACTTACTTGGAGAACCTACACTCTAATAAAATAGAAAATCCAGGTGAAAAAGACAGATTATAGACACATATGATCTATAAAAGCTGAATCAAGAATATATAAAATTCTAAATAATCAATATCAGGCAAATAATCCAAATATCCAAATATCATCCAATGATCCAAATATCAGGCAATAAAACTAAAGAAGTAAATTTTTTAAAAACTACAAACAAAAACCTAGGTACCAATGGATTAACTGCTGAACGTTATGAGAACTTCAGAAAAGATCTAATGCCACCACTCTTCAAACTCTCTAATGAAATTGAAAGGAAAGCAATACTACCAAATTCATTTCTAGAAGCAACCATTACCCTAAAACCAAAACCAGAGAAGGATCCAACCAAAAAAGAGGGCTACAAGCCAATCTCCCATGCAGAACAGCCAAAGACATTCTAGTGCTTCTCTTTCAGGACGAATCTCCAAATCTTTCCAAACACTTCCCACAAGCCATTTCCAAAGGCTTCTGAGCCACATGGTCAGATGCAATCACAGCAACAACTCCACTCCTGGTACCAAATTGTCTTAGTTATTTTTCTCTCATTGCTCGGACAAAATACTTGATGCCTAAAATTAAAGAAGGAAAGGTTTACTTATCTCACAGTTTGTAGCAGTTTCAGTCCATACTCAGCTGGCTCCAAGGCAGAGTGGCACATGGCAGAGGGCAATAGTTCATGGCAGTGGAAGGCAGCAAAAGCAACAAGAGCACACGGGGAGGAGTAGCAGCAAGCAGCCTCTTTCCCTCCCTTACACTGTATGCAGACTACCTGCCCCAGGGCAGGTGTAGCACTCGCACCCATAATCCCAGCATTGGACCATGGATCAATCATAAACTCTAGAAGCCCACCCCATGACTGCATTAGGCATTGGGGGACACCCAGACACAAACCATAACAGACACACAAGTTTAAACATCGCATTGTTTCTCTTGTATGAGAAACCGAAAGGGTAAATAAAGAAGAAAACGGAGGACAGACACTGGCAAGTAGAAAGAACATGTACAAGTGGGAAGGGGAACAAGGGAAGAGTGAGGGAGAAGACAAGGAAGGGAAAAGGGATTTAAAAAACAGAATGGCCAGGCATGGTGGTACACACCTATTATACCAGCACTTGGGAGGCTGAGGCAGGAGAACTGCTGTGAGTTCAAGGCCAGCTTGGGCTACCAAAGTAAGTTCAAGGCCAGCATGAACTGCATAGCAGAAAACCTGCCTCAAAAAGACAAAAAACAAAGAATGAAAGGAAGAAAATGGGAACAAAGCTTCTTCCTTTTTTTTTTTTGGTCCCCCGCCCCCCAGGTATGGTCAATCAAACTCACAACCTTGCGCTTGCCAGGCAGGCACTGTGCTACTGAGCTAAATCCCCAGCCCCCGGAACAAAGCTTCTGTAAATAGAGAGGGGAAGAAATATTGAAGGGAGGGGAAGTGAACGGGGAAAAAAAGAATTAAGCTATATTAAGCACAGGTGCAAATTACCAATGATAAATGTGAGTACTATGTATGGCAATTATGTACTAATAAAAAAAATTTTTTTAAAGCTGGACTGGTGGTGGTGCACACCTATAATCCCAGTACTTGGGAGGCTGAGGCAGGAGGGCCACTGCAAGTTCAAGGTCAGCTTGCGCTCCAAAGTAAGCTCAAGGCTAACCTGAACTACATAATGAAGCTGTGTCTCAAAATGACCAAAAAAAAAAAAAAAAAAAAAAAAAAAAAAAAATTAAATCCTTATAAAAAAAGGTCAATGACCTCAAAGAGGATACAAATAAAGAAGTGAATGAAATAAAGATGACAGCTCAAAATATGAATAAGCATTTCAGCAGAGACAGATTCTGGAAATAAAACAAACAAAACAGACATCCTAGAAATGGAAAGCTGGATAAATCAAATTTAAGAACTCAGATGGCTTATAGCATATGGAAGACAGAAAAAATGTCATGGCTTAACAATAAGGTAGGCATTATCACATTCAGACAGTAATACAGAAAAAAAATAAATTGAAAAATTATGAACAAAAAATTGGCAAACCTCTAGGACATGACTAAAAGACAACGTTTTTGACTTGTTGGAATAGATAAAGAGATGAAAACTAAATGCATAGAAAATCTACTCAGTGAAATAATAGAAACTTTCCTAAATCTTGAAAAAGTATGCATAACCAGGTAGAGAAGGACTTTAGAGCCCCAAACAAGACTAGAACAAAAAGAATACTGAAAGATATTCTAGATAAAAATGTCAAATCACTTACAAAGTCAAACATATCTGAATAACAGCAGATTTCTCAGCAAAAACTGAGGGCCAGAAAGGCACAGAATGATGTATTACAAGGTCTGAAAGAAAGTAAGTGCCAACCTAGATTACTGTATCCAGTGAATCTATCCTTCAGAATTGAAGGAGAAATAACACATTTTGAGATAAGGATAAGAATCACATGATCATCTCAATGGATGCAGAAAAGGTCGCTGATTAAATTTAACATCCTTTCATAATAAAAGCTCTGGAGAAAACAGGTACAGAAGGATCTTACCTCGACATATATGGCCTTTATAGAACATCATACTGAATGAAATAAAGCCGAATGTATTTCCTCTAAAATCAAAAATGAGACACGGTTGTCCACTGTCTCCACCTCTGCTCACTACAGTATCTGATTAGCCACAGCAATGAGGTAAGAGAAAGAAATAAAGCAGATACGAACAGGAAAAGAAAAAGTCAGATTATTTATAAACAGTATGAACCTTTACTTAGAAGACCCTAAAAACTCTACCAGCCAACTGTGGTGATACATGCCTGTAATCCTCACACTTGGGATGCTGAAGCAGGATTGCCATGAGTTTGAGGTCAGCCAGAGCTACATAGGAAATTCAAGACCAGCCTGATCTCTATAGCAAGACACACTGTCTCAAAAAAAACCCACAAACCTACCAGAAGCCTTTTAGGTATGATAAATAAATTCAACAGGACGTAAAAATCAATAGCTTTGTTATATACCAATCACAAATCTGCAGAGCAAGAAGTCAGGAAATTAATTCCATTCACAGTAACTCCAAAATAAAATGCCTAGAATCAACCTAACCAGAGATAAAGAATCTGTACAAGAGAAATTATAGACCACTGAAAGAAAGAAACTGAAAAAGACACCAGAAAGACTCTCCATGTTCATGGATCAGCAGAACAAATACTGTTAATATGGCCATACTACTGAAAGTGATCTATAGAGTCAATGCAATCCCCATCAAAGTACCTGTGACCTTCAAAGAACTACAAAAAAATTCCTAAAATTCATAAAGAAACATACAAGACCCAGGACTGGCTAAGGAAATTCTGAACAAAAAAGGTAATGCCAGCTGACTTCAAAGCACACTGCCCAGCCACAGTAACCAAACAGACACAGACCCGCGGAATAGGATGGAAGACACAGAAACGTCCCACACAACTACAACCATCTGATCAGACAAAAGAGTTAAAAAATATGGTAGAGAAGAGACAGCCTCTTTAACAAGTAATGCTGAGAAACTGGATACCAATCTGTAAAAACTGAAACTAGACCCTATCTCTCATCCTATACAAAAATCACTTCAAAATGGACAAAAGACCTAAGAACTGAAACTTTAAAACTGCTGAAACATAGGATCAGGCTGGCCTTGAATTTACTATGTAGCTCTGGCTGGCCTCAAACTCATGGCAATCCTGCTTTAGCCCCCCAGCTTGAAATCATAAGCACAGGCAAAGGCCTTCTCAAAAGGATTCTAAGAGCACAAGAAGTAACAGAGTTGACAAAGGGGACTACATCAGATTACAAAGCTTTTACACAGCAAAGGAAATCATAACTGACAGAGTAAAGACCTACAGAATGGAAGAAAATCTTTTCCAGGTACTCTTTTGACAAAGGATCAATATCCAGAATATATTAAGAACTGAAAAAAAACAAAGCAATTAACTCAATTAATAATGGGCCAATGAACAGACACTTCTGAAGAAAAGAAATACAAATAGCTGAACATACACTAAGTACATGAAAAAACATTCGCCTTTAGCCATCTGGGAAATGCAAATCAAAACTGAGATTGCATTCACTCCAATCGGGATGGCTATCACCAAGAATACAAAACAAGAAAGGCTGGTGAGAATGCCTGGGGAAAAGCAACCATTACTACACTGTCAGTGGAAACGTAAATTAGCATAGCCACTAGGGAAATCCATATGGTAGTTCAAGAAACTCAAAACAGAGTCACAGTTTGATCCACCTGTATCATCTCTTGATATATCCCTGAAAGACTCAGTCAGCACACTATACGGACACCAGCTCACCCACCAGCTCCACCCTACTGCAACCCAGTGTGTAACAGCTGAACTCATCCCAGAGGAAAGCAGGTCTCAGCAGGGTCACAGTGTACACATAGCACACGGAGTCAGGCGCATGACCAAGCCTAAGACCCAGATCCCAGCTGGGGACCGTTCTGCAGCAGGTTTGTGTGAGGACCACACTGCAGTCAGCTCTGTTAGCGCTTTCCTTACAGCCACCCAACAGTCTCCATTCACAGGTGTAACACCCACGGCTGAAGACAATGGGCCTAAACTCTGCCTACCAATGGAGCCTCAGCACACAGCACACAGCACAAGCCCCTAGTACCGCTTCCCTCTTTACAACAGAATTATCCCCGAACAGCCCTCTCAGATTTACAGCCCTCAGTCCTGAAACACTGGGCCTCTGACGTACCATCCTCTGTGCAGCACACACAATGCAAGGAGCCAGTGGCAATGGCAATGACTTTCTTCCCCTGAAGTCCCTGGACCTGTCGAGGTCTTCGAACGTGGTCATCGGATCCGTGGCCCAGCCTGTGATAATCACCTTTGCCCCTGCACACAAAGACAGCATGTAACTCCAAAATGAAGGATATCTTGTCCCCACTCTGCCACCATCCTGGTGCAAGCCCTGAACACCTGGATGCAAAAAAGTCTGCTGCAGGGAAGTTATACTCCAGTCTATTGAAGGGTGGTTAATATACGTTCAATTAAAAATATTATTTTGGTGGGATTAAATAAACAGAAGCTTACCAAGTATAAACAGCTCCAGATTTGGTAAGAGCAACAGAAAACTGGGACCCACATTCCACTTTAACCACTCCAAGGCCAGTGAGAGAATCAATCTAGAGAGAGGAAAGTCCAATTAGATGAACTCCATCAAGATCACTGCTGACTACTGCAACCACACTGAGATTTAACCATTTCCAGCAGAAACTCTGAAAACCCGTAAGAGTATTTAGTAAGGGTTAGGGATATAGCTCAGCAGTGTAAGTGCCTGCCTGGAAAGCACAAGGTCCTGAGTTCAATCCCCAGTGTGTACACACACACACACACACAGAGTGTATTTCATAAAACTCAAAATCATATTCTACTTAACCAACGCACTCTCAAGAAGCGAACAGGGGCAGTGACTGGCGGCAGGTACGCTGGCAACGGAACCCAGCGCAGGTCACCAGTAAGGGGACACTTCACAAGGGAAGCTGCAATCCTCCCCTCAAGATGGAAGTGGAGGCACAATCCCTAGTCCTCTCTCAGACCCTAAGCTCCACAGGAAGGGGGCAACAGGCAACAGAGGACGGGGTGGCGGGGGCACCTGGGTCTTGTCCACTTGTCTGAGGCAGCCGAGTTCCTGTGCTCTCAGTAGTGCAGGCCTGCCCTGAGCCTCCCCTACCACACACCTGGCGCCCAACCCTCCACTCCGCACTCACTTTCCTCCTGATCACTTCTCCTTACCCAATAGGCGCTGCTCTTATTTTCTCTGTGAGCGTCCTAACACTTGTGTTCTTGTATTTAATCTGAATTAACAATTCATTCTCTTAGTCTCTCCCACCGCCAGGCCCATCATTATGGTTAACTACTTCCTCCTCCAGCCTGTCTAGTGTTCAGCAAGTCTTCCTTGGCCAAGAAAGAGCACACAGAATAGATTTTCATAAATGTGGAAACCCTTTGTAATGCACAATGTGGCTGCAAAACCATCTACCTGTACTAGATGAGATGAAAGGGGAGCCACTGAACATTATCAGTGGGCCTAGAGGACGAACTTTAATCTTATTTAAATTCAGTTGATTTAAATTTGAACTGTTACATGTGGCCAACACCCACTGCACCGGGCAGCACAGCTCTACGAAGAAAAGCTAAAAGCCGGGCTCAGCTCTTTCCCCTCTGAGTAGGCCCTCCGCGCCACAGGCCGCTCTGCTCTGTACCTGCAATCTGGGGCCTGGGTTCCTTTCACCAGACCCGTGCTCCCCAGTCTACGTACAGCATCTCAACTACACTTGCAGTGTGCACGTGCTGCAGGCCACAAAGCTATGGGTAAGTGACTTAAACATGTCAACTCCCTTAATCTCAACCACCCACTTACACGGCCAAAATTCAGTCTGGTAAAGCTAAGAAACTGCTTAGTCACTTGGCCCATGTAGAACAATGCAACAGACCCCTAACCCAGCCTGCAGACACGGGGTGCCACATAACCTCTGCCCTTGGCTTCTCGTGGGACGTGTCCAGTGCTGGTCTGGATCTGGAATGCCCTCTACAAGCCTCATGTGATCAGAGCTGGGGCTGGAGGAAGACGACCAGATCACAAGGGTGCTATACTCGTCATCAGGTTAGTCCACTGAGGAGTCCACAGCTAACTGTGATGTGCGGAGGTGGAGTGTGGCGGGGGGGCGGGCACCAGGAGTTTGACCTGGAAGACTGGGTCTCCTTCCTTTTTCCCTCTGCTTCCTGCCACTGTGGTGTGACCATCTTTCCTCTGAGGCAAGCGCTTCTACCATGCCATTTCTGCATTTGAGCCTGCCAACCATGCACTACAACTTGAAATGGTAGGGCAAACAAACCTCTTCTCGATGTCAGATATTCTGTCCCAGTGATAAGAAAGTGGCTACGATACCCAGCCGAACACAATCCTCTCCGCGAGCTCTAGACACAACACAGCACACCTATGTACCACCATAAACTGAAGTGACAGGAACAATGTCTTATCCAGTCCTCAAACAGGTAGGTCTACATGCTAAATAAAACTAGATGCTCTGCAGCACCCTGCTGGACTGCCGCCATTACCAAGAGAGTACACGCAGAACTTAAAATGTCTTCACGCCTTGAGGCCACTCACTTTTTACATGATTACCCAAAATATCTTCCGCAAAGTAGGCAAAGGTGAGGTTAAAATGCTCCCAAGAAGCACACAGAGGGAAGCAGCGGTGACGGATCCAGGGCTGCACCAGGGGGAAATACCTTCATGGGCACTTTGCAGCCGTCGCTGCCTCCTCTGCCGAGCTTGCCGTAGTCCCCATCCCCCCAGGACCAGACGGTGTCGTCATCAGTGAGGCAGAGGGTCTGGGCGTCACCACTCCCACAGGCGATATCTACCACACGGTGGCCCTGCAGCACCTCCACCTTCAGGAAAAGGGGCCAGGGTCAGCCAATCACACCTAATGAAGCAGTGTAAGTGACAGGCTTTGCAGTGTTGCTCCTCTTTCCTTGTGACTTAAGCCTCCATAAAGAACCAGGTAATTTTAATAATCCTAAGAGGCAAAAACAAAAAACACCTTCTTCTATGTGAACTATACAAATCTAAACTGCAGGAACCAACCCTGTACCACCTTGAAGGCTGCTCATTCACTCCTTTTATCATCAAAAACAACAGGGTTTCTAGAAGCCAAAACATTTTCCAACGTCCAAAGCAGTATTTATCATTAAAGTAGGTAGGCATGGTGGTACATGCTTGTAATCCCAGCACTCAGGGGACAGGCAGGAAGATTCCAAATTCAAGCCCAGCAAGGGTAACTTAGAATTTAGTAAGACCCTGTCTCAAAATTAAAAATATGAAAGGACTGGGGATGTAATTCAGTGCAAAGGATCCTGGATTCAATCCCCAGGACTGCCCCCAACCAAAGTTAACTCTTGAACAAAACAGGAGAGTTTTCAAAATCCACGTATTTTGATTCCCAAAACACTTTTGATTCCCAAAAAACTTAACTACCAATACCCTGCTGTTGACCAGAGGCCTTACTGTAACTTGACAGCTGGTCTGGAGGTTCTAGCAGGGGAACATAGCTACTCATATACCCTCGACCAAGGAAACAGTCCTCTTCTATCAAGGGTGGTCGTCTTCTTCAATCGAGCACACAGCTTCAGGAGGGACACACACGGAGCAGTAGGGGAAGAAGGGGACCTCTGCCTAGCCAGCCAGATCAGCCCAATCCACCCCGGTGATCAATGGGGTGACATATGTCGCATACATCGGCCTTACTATAACTTAAATGGCTCATTAACACATACTTTTTAATACATATTTTATGAACAATAAAAGATATGCGAGCCACAAGAGATCACCTTTTATTATGATATACAATTAAAAGGCCAGGTGAACTACTAACTTGTAGGTGACAGTATCATGTTTTAAACATCCTCACAATATTTGAGCTCACTGTAATAGCAACAGCAGGTAGCTATAAAATTATTACAGTAGTACAGTATGTCCTACAGTCAATATTATGCAGCTATGATTGAATGCCTCATCTTTGTATCTGTTTACATTCCTCTTAACCTCAAATGGCACCACAGACAGTCTGTAAATGTAAGTTTTCTTGATAAATTTTAACTTCGTTTGCAGTGCTGGTGTTCAAATTCAGGGCCCCCGTACATGTACATGTTAAACAAGTGCTCTACGACTGAGCTACATTTGCACCCTTAAATTTTAGTTTTTCATGACAGACTTATGAATATTTTGTAGTGCAAATGGTAACACAGACTATTATGTACACATATTTTATGCACTGATGACGTCTTTTTCTCAGCTTTTTTGCTGTGTCTAGGTTATATAGTTTTCCTGAGAAGCATTTTTCAAATTACAAGCTGCCACCCTCTGAAAAAAATTCTGCAATTTCAGTGGACCCATACAATTCAAACTCATGTTGTTCAAGGGTCAAACTGTATAAATAAAAGGATATTTCAAATACTACCATATTTAAATGACCCATGGAAGGAATACATGCCAAGATGGTTTTTTATTTCCATTAGAAAGAAAACCTACTTATAAAGAATGAGCCTACAGTCAAAAACCCTAAATTAAAAAGAACACAGTGGGGCACACTTCTGATATATGACCCTGGCAGCCCCCCAACCTCTTCAATACCACGAGCAAGCAGCCACTTAGGCCTGGGCCTGGGCCTTGCACTGTGGTGACTCCTCACCAGCTTTGGCTTTAACTGGTCCTCGCTGTCACTGTGTCCCAGGCGGCCATACCGGCCTTTGCCCCACGTGTACAGGTCTCCAGCTGCGGTGACGCAGGCACTGTGGGCTCCACCCGCAGCAACATCAACCACTTCAACTCCTCTCAGAGACTCAATGACCCGAGGACGGTCACACGGACTGTGAGAAAAGACACCAACGTTAGAAATGCTCTTTTCTTCCTAAATATTTTTAACTACATTAAACACAATGTCTCCTGTGTGTTGCTCATTTAGTCAGTGTCCACCTCTTAAAACACATGTTCCCAACCAAGTAATTATTAAGCCAGTCCCTAAGAACTGTTCAGATCTGAACCCAAACTTCCTACCTAAGGAGTTACTTTAAAAAAATATCAAATGCAAAACCTAAAATATTTACTACCTGACCCTTTACTGAAACAAAGATTCATTTAAGAAGTCTTAAAGTACGAACATCACTAGCATTTGTGACAAGCAGGATTAACAAACTTGTTACTAAGTTTTGAAAACTCCATATATTTTGGGTATCAGACCTTAGTCAAATTATGTGATTCAAGTATCTTCCTAGTTGGTGGCATGCTTTTTCAATCTCTTCAAATACAGTTCATAGTTTTTATAAAATACAATTCATCATATTTTTTAAAATGAATCATAGTTTTGAAGTTCTAACTGCAAATCTTTGTCATGTTTTCTTCTAGAAGTTTTTGTTTTAAATTTTACATTGGTTACTATTATTCATTCTGAATTAATGCTTAGATATGGTACAAGGAGTAAATTTAAGTTCATTTCTTATATAGTTTTTCACTTTTTCAAAACTAATAAATTGCTTCTGCACTTTTGAAAACTGTGTTATTAGAAACTGTGTTATTTTTTTCCATATTCATCTCACCAGTATTTGTGGCTCTATTCCTGGACTACCTGATCTACTCCTATAATACCAACACTATATAGCTGGCTCCTGCAGCTCTAAAATAAGGGTTCATGTCAGGCATGTCTTTGAAGGTGCTGAATCTAGGTATTTGGGGATAAACAAATTAACAATGCTGAATCTTCTCACCCATAAATACAATACACCTCCAAGATTTTAGGGTTTTTTTTAAGTATTCTCACTAATATTGTGTAGTTTTCTCTCTATGGGTCATGCATATTTTTTTGGTCAGATTTATCCATGAAAATTTCAATTGTGAACACAGAGTATTACAAATGGTATTTTTAAATTTCACTTTCTGATTACACAGAAACAAGTACGAAGACATACAGATGACTTATTTATGGATCATGTATTCTGCCATACTTTTAAACTAACATTAGTTCTAGTAGTGTTTTGGAGGTACATCCTATTCTCTGAACAGATAATATTATCTGCAAATAAAGACAGCTTTAATTCTCTTTATAATCTGGATGCCTTTTATGTCTTTGTACATTTTGTGGAGCTGCACTTATTACACATGCAGTACTTGTAGAATGGAGTGGCAGCCACAGACATCCTTGTCTCTTCCTAAAACTGACACTACTTAAGCAGAACATAAGCTCTAGGTTTAATAGAGATGTCTCTCATCAGGTTAAGGACGGAATCTTTTATCCTTACAATGCTGGAGGGTTTTATCAGAAACACAGAATTTACCAAACGCTATTGCCACTTCACCTACCTAGATACCATATGATTGATTTGTTTTACACTGATTGATTTTCCAATGTTGAATCAAACCTGCAATTTCCTGGCCACACTGTATTATTCTTTTGTATGTCATTGGACTTGATTTCCAAAAGTCAAGAATTTTTACATCTATGTTCTTGGGAAAAGTTGGTCTACATTTTCCTGATAATTGAGTTTGGTTTTGAAAAAAGAGTAACGCTATCTTCAAAAGTCAATTTGGGAGCATTCTCTCTACTTCAATTTTCTGAAAAAGTGTGTTAGGAACTGGAACTATCTGTTAGCTTACATATATATGAGAAATCACTAGTATTTGGATCTTGGAGATATGTTTGCAGGAAATTTATTTTCTGAGAGAATATGTATGTATCTTTTTAGGAATTTGTCCAATTCCCCTAAAAAGTCAAGTCTGTTGGCATAAAGTTGGTATATTCTGTGACCTTTTAATATCTGCATGCTCTGTATGATGAAAACTGTAATTTGTAGTATATTTGTATCAGTGTAAATGGAGGTTTTGCAAATTATATTTTCCTTAGAGAATCAGATTTTATTTCCTTTGGTTGACCCTAATTTTTTCAGTTTTCTATGTTACAGATTCCTGCTCCAATGTTTCTTATTCCCTTTCTTCCACTTACTTTGAGCTACATTTGTCCTTCTCTACTATAGTACCCTAAGGTGGGTGTTAAGGTCATGGTGACTCCAGTTGTACTCCTCTTAGGCCTTCTAAGATTTTTCCACAGTTCCCTGGTGTTCTGTTCATTTCTGTATTCCTTTTCTCTGTCTTTCACTCGGTACAGTTTCTACTGTGCCTTCATGTTCTCTTCCACAAAACATGTGCCACTCATCCCATCTGATGCATTTTTCATCTTTAAGGCTTTGACTTGGGCATTTACATACTTCCAGCCTCAACCTAACACGTTCAAGTTTCTTTCTAACTTCTTGAAGATACAACATGTAGTTTAAAATAGTTGTTTTAATAAAGTTATCACCTCCCACTGTATCATTTCTGGGTTAGCTTCAACTAACTTGATTTTTCTCTTTATATGGGTTGTGTGCTGTTTTTTTGCATGCTGGCAATTTTTGAGTAAATACAAGGTATTATAAAGTTTAACTTCTTAGGGAATTGATTTATTTAAAGTCACAACAATATTCTTGTGCTTTGATTGCCGTGATACTTTATTTATAAACTGTGTTTCCAGTCTTGTTTTTATGCTCTGGTGATGGTGATCACGGCAACAAAGAGTATGTGTGATTATTTCTCCCTAGCATTAGGCAACAATATTCTTAGCACTCTAACATATGGGATTATGAGATTTCTGGGACCTTTATTTTATACCCTATGTGAGCTCTGGGGACTGTTCTTCTAATCCTTTTGGGTAGTCTTTCCCCTGACCTCACACAGGTGATTGTGGAACCTGGCTTTGCAGGTTCTGAGTTCTCTCTTTGTACAGCCCTCTCCCTCCTGGGGTTTGCATATCTAGATGTACTGATGTCCCTGGACTTCCAGTTCTGTCTTCTCTACACTATGGGAGCTTCTAGCATCTACCTACATTTCTTCTTCCTGTGCTACCGCAGGTGCCACTAAGAAAATTTCTGAACTAGCCTTATCTGTTTCCCATTTCTCAGGACATACTACACTTGCTGCCTGACAGGTAATGTCTTTAGAATTGTTGTATTTTGTCTAATTTGTTTAGCTACTTTTAAGATAGGAAAGGTCTCTGTTACTCTGACTTGGTTGGTAGTTGCTATTGATTTTTTAAATAAGTAGGTTTGGTTCCTTTATTTAAAAAGTGCTATCATTTGTGCATCCTTCCCCCTTGCTCCTGCCATTTCCTTTGTATTTACAGTTGAAGTATTATGCATATCACACAAAATCTCAAATGTGATGCAGTGGGCCATTTGAGGAAGAAGGACAAAGAAGCTTAACATAAGTAACTCAAAACCCTAGCACTGACTTTTTTTCTCCTCGAACAGTTGTCATACAGGCAAACCCACAGACTGGCACATCGACCTGTTCCTGGCAAATGACTCAGAAACATTATTTGAGTAATTATGTAAATGTTGTTCTTAAAAATAAAGTGCCAGTACCCTGGACCAGCATTAAAACAAAGGAAAACGTAACACTGAAAATGCTGTTTTCCCGCAGTACCTTCTGTTGCCGTGCCCCAACTTCCCGTCTTCGGCCTCACCCCAAGAGTAAACTTCACCCTCTGAAGAGAGGGCAAGGCAGTGCTTTCCTCCGGAGTTCACAGCCACCTTCCTAATGAACACATGCTGAATGGACTCCAGCAACGTTGGAGTGGACACTGACTCTGTCCCTCCAATCCCCAGTCGGCCACCCGCACCGTAGCCAGTGGCATACAGCTAGGACGAGAGAAAAACAGCAACATCAGATTCTCCTCTTAATATTCTTATGTTTAATAATGAACAAAACTAATCAGTGTTCTAGCCTTCTTTTTTTGAGGAGAGGCTATTGAGGACTGAACCCAGGGGTGCTCTACACCCAGCTTTATCTCCAGCCCTTTTTATTTTTTATTTGCAAAGAGGATATCATTAAGCTGCCCCAGCTGGCCTCAAAATTGCAGTCCTCCTGTCTCAGTCTGCCAAGTAGCTAAGATTACAGGCATGTACCACCACATCCAACTTAGAGACATTTTTACCATAGAGTGATTAAATTTAAAATTTTTTTTTGAATCACAGTAAACTTTAAGACTTTGTACACTGCTCTAATCGGGCTGGGTGTCCTCCAGGATGGTACTACTGGAAGGCAGCGAGGGCTAGTGGCATGTCCCTGGAAGGACCTGTGGGAGTCTGCCTGCTGCTCTCTGTCTCTGTTAGAAGGCAGTCTGCTTCCCCACGCGGTCTCTACCCTTGCCATCTGCACTCCAGAGGCCCCAGGCAATGGGTGCACGTGATCTTGGAGTGCGACGCTCAGAACTGTGATCTCAATAAACTTTCCCTCTTACAGGTAACTATCTCAGGCATTTCGTTACAGTGCCAGAAGGCTGACTAGTACGCACATTTCTATCAAAGCTCTAAAAATAAAAGAAAAAGTTATATGACCATTACAAATCCCAAATTTATGCATTTTAAAAATAAGGTCTTTTCTCTAAAGCTTTTTCTATTTCTAGAATACTAACTACAATTACTACCAAGAAAACGAAAAAGATTTAATCATCGTCTATATGTAAATCCCTGAAATCCACACAAACATCCTACAGAAAAACTACAAATACATTTTAGTATTTCAGCAAGGCAGCACTTACACAGTAGAAAACACTGTTTTTTCACCCTAAATGGGAACCGTTTGAGGACACAAAGCATCCTTGTCATTAATCAATCAGGAGTGAGGGACTGGACTGCTATTTCTGAGTGCGGCACACACGCCTCTGGGGAGAACCTGAAATGACCGTCGTGGACGCTCTTCACGTGTGTTGCTGCACCGACACAACAGTGAGCGGACTGCAGGGGCTGAAGCGGGAAGTGAAGCCAAAGCTCAGGTGGACGCAGGAGCCCTCAGTCCAGCTTCCTCTGGGAAAGGTTAGAAGATCTGGGGGCGGGGGGCGGCAATAAGGCACCACCTCAAAGAGCACTGTAGAAAAGCGCGACACCCTCAGTGTACAGTACTACTAATGAAAGTCACCTTTCATGGTCTTCGCACTGGGGGGAGGGAGTTGAGTCTTCCTGGAGAATTCACACCCGTAAAAACTGACACTCAAGTTGGTTTTCAGTGTGAACTTACACTACCTATGGACTATAATCCTCAGAGAGAAAATTTGTAGTAACTTAGGTTAGCCAGTTAAAATCCCAGGTTTATAAATTCTCTATGGATGAGTGCTTTCAAAATTGGCCCCAAATAATTTCTATGTAAATTCCAGGGAAAATGGTAACCTCGTATATTTAAAAATTTACACCACTGGCAAGGAAAGAAGACAACGTAATTGACAGCAAGCAGAATATTACATCTAAAGAGATAAAAAGCTTAACAGTACACCCAACGACTACTAAGGATATAAAACAACCCAAAGTAAAGCTTCCAGAAACTAAAAAAAAATAGAAATCCAAAACTCAAACTATTAAACGGCAAGTTATTAGAGACCTGAACGATCAATCTAAAGAAATTACCCAGCATATACCAGAGAAAGACAAAGCCAAGAGGAAATATGAAAGAAGCTCAGAGATAGAAAGAAAAGACCTTACTTACTCTAAGATCAATCAGTTTCAAGAAAAGATCACACAGAGAATATGTAAGAAGTTAATACTTGAAAAAATAATGTCTGGGAACCTATCAGAATTGTTAAAAAGACAAATTCTCAGAGCACCCTGGCAAAAAAATAAAGACTGGGAAAAATAAACAGAAGTAGATATCTAAACACACACATGCACATACACACAGAGTAGTGAAACTGCACATTATCAAAGAAAGATTTTAAAAGCAGCCAAAGACTTTCCATCAGAGTAAACGCTGGTCTATTAATATCTTATCAGTAACAATGAAAGCCAAAACACAAAATAAAACCTTTAACAGATTAACTGAAAGTAATTGTCAACTGAAAATTTGATACACTACAACAGGGGTTAGCAAATTAGAGGCCACGGGCAAAATCCCGTCCCTTATCTGTTTCTACAAATAAAGTTCTACCGGAACGAGCCATCTCTACACAGTTACAGAATGTCTACAGCTGCTTTCATAGTTGCAAGATACCATATGGCCTGCAAAGCTGGAAACGCTATTAAACCCTTTACAGGGGCTGGGGATTTAGCTCAGCGGCACAGCACCTGCCTGGCAAGCGTAAGGTTGTGAGTTCGATTCCAGGTACCGGAAAAAAAAAAAAAGTAAAACTTTAAAAAAAAATTTAAACCCTTTACAGAAAATGTTTGCCAATCCTACCCTAAAATAAAGATATTTTCAAATGTACAAACAAAAACAACCAGAGATTTAACCAGCAAAAGAACCTCACTAAAGGATATTGAAAGAGATATGCTTAAAAGTAGAGGGAAAAATGAATGCATATATGTAAGACAAGCAGTGAGCAGATGTATGTAACATCTGCATAAATCCGGGGGAAAATGGTCTCCATAAAATAACAACAGCAAAACTGTCTATGAGAGCAGGGCGGCGGGGGAGGCTAGAGCCAAAGCAATGGATAACAAAGGTTCAGTGTTTTCACTGTTTGGGAGGAAGGTAAAAAATGCTAATCAACTTCAGATTGTATGCATGTTAAAGCACCAGGGAAATTAACTAAAAGACACAAAAGTCTCCAGAGAACAGAAAAAAATGGATATACTTCAGCTCCTTTCCAAAGCTAAAACCATATATCCATGGCGGAAGTGTGCCTCTACCACAGCTGCCAATGCTTCTGCTTCTGGGCTACACGCTCCTCTCTGAATGTGCGCTGCACCCTAAGACTTGCTGCTGAGGAATGGGATATGGCAACGGCGGTACAGCACCACTTCTGCTCAGAACATTCCTGGAATTCCCATCTTACTACTGCATTTTCCTTTCCTCTCCTGTGCTCGTGCTCATAAAGGTAGCTGTCACATGTTCTACAGTTCACAAGAAATGGACTCCTATCCTGTACAGCATTAGGATGACAACAGCCTGGTGAGAGACTGAGCTGGGGACTAAGCTATGCCACCTCTAGAGTCCTGACACAGACAGACTGTGAGATAATATATTTTTAAAACTTAAACAGATAACACAGTATTACAACCAGACAAGGAGTATGTAAGACAGGAACCTTATATGAAGATGTCTCACTCATGAATATGGATCTCTCCCAAATCCTAAGCAAAATATTCACAAATATAAACCAAAAATACATAAAACACATCGTCTTATAAATTTATTTTGGGGAGGAACTGGGATCAAACTCAGGACCTTACACCTGCCAGGCAGGCACTATTGCAGCTGAGCTATATCCCCGGCCTTCACATCCTGATGAAGCTGAGTTTATCCAAAGGAGGCAAGCTTGTTTAACATGAGAAAATCCCTCACTAATTCACTACCTTAATCCTCTAAAGGAGATCTGCAAAGGAACACTTCAAAAAAGGCAGTGTTTGACAAAAATCAACACCTACTCACGAATAGAAACAGAAGGATATTCTTATTCATCCATCTATGAATAGAAATATCCTTCATCTAATAAAAAAGGGCAAAATCTCTCATCACTGTGCTTCCTCCACAGTGCAAACCCCAACAAGAACGTGCCCTAGCCCTATACCTGCCTCAGTTTATATTCCGTTTCCAGCTGGCATTACTCATCCCCTTTCACCTACCCAGAAGGAAAAACACAAGAGATTAAACTACAAAAAAGGAAACAAAATTTATTTTCAGATTATGGCTCTCTATAAGTAAATATTAAAAAAAATTAAAGCACATTAGAAAGAAAACAGATCTAAAGTCCATATAAAACACCAGACCTTGGGCTGGGGATTTAGCTCAGTGGCACAGCGCCTGCCTGGCAAGCACAAGGTCATGAGTTCAATTCCTGGTACCAGAAAAAAAAACAAAAACAAAACAAAAGGAAACATCAGACCTAAAGTGCATATAAAAATATCAGCTACTTCTACACATCAACCTGTGTACTTTTTCAAAAGACAGCATTTACAACAGCAAATAAAAATACATTTAATAATGATATGTGAACAAAAATTATAATACTTTTGCATATATGATGTACTTCAGAATAAAAAAATATTTAAAGTAATAAAATATATCTAAACACTATACAGGAATATTCAGAACTATAATTGCTTCTAGCAATATCTAAACTACTATTAAACTTACATGCACAAGAATCAAACAGAACACCGAGCCATAACTGTCCTGGTCTTTAGACAGTCTGACACCAAAACTGCATCCTTACCTTTCCATCAGCTGTCACAGCAAAAAGTGTTTGTTCTCCTCCAATCAGCTGTATGGGCCTGAGAGTTGCAAGAGCTTCACAAGGAGTGGGCACTTTAACTTTTGCACCTTCAATGCCTCCCAGCTGCCCTCTATGATTATGACCCCATCCATAAATGGTCCCACTGCCGCCAGCAGAAAGAGTCCAGTCATCTGGTCGCCTACAAGAGATATTAAGAGAGCATTAGGTATCTGAAAGAACTGCACGTGAAACCTCTTTCTCTCACATGCAACACGATTTCTTGTTCCTGATGTAATAACCTGTTCATCCACTGCACAAGTTGTTCATCTTGCTCTCTTTTAAAAATGTCATGGCTCTCGTGGAGAACATCCATGTTTTCACTGTCTGCCATTAACTCACGAATTTTCTTAGCCACCTAGGAAACATTATAATTAGATTATGAATCAAACATTCATCTCCAGAATAAAGTAAATAAATATTAAGATGAAAAGACAGAAGGAATCCCTGCCAAGGCAATTATGAGGGAATGCCAACATTAATATTACAATTTTATACTTAATAAGTTAAATCAATATGTTATATCAAGTCTAGGATATTAAAAACTGGATGGTATCATTATATCATTAGTTTACTAAAAATAAACTTTAATTGAAATTCATGGTGTTAGTTCACTTATTTTCACTTACATGGTTTTTCTTATTTACAGTATTTCTTGGCAAAAGAAAGCTTTTTGTATCTTATAATACTGGCATCTTTTGGTACTATATCTAAATTTTAAAAATCTTTCTGCACTACAAAAGTGATTCCAAAATAACATATAATAGTACCTCATCAAGAAACAAACGGGGCAATGGTGTCCTCTTGTCCAGGGCCACAGCAACACGAGAGGCCATGCAGTACCGTCGGAACCAAGCCCACTTGTGCGTCTCGGCACAGCAAGGCAGAGTGTCTAGTTCCAAGTCACAAGCAAGAGCTACAAGTACCTGCAGCCACCGAACATTCAAAAACACAGTGTCACTGGGAAATGCACTAATATTCTGCTTTGTCACCAGCACCATGCCAGGGCTTTTGAGGATGCTTGTTCAGGAGCTCCTCCTTATTGTACCAGTAATATGATTATCCTAACAGTTCCTAGAGATGCACTGTAAGCACAGGCTCTCGGATCCAACAACTGCTGCAGTATGTCAACCAACAAAAGGACTTGTGCATTTCAAGGCATGCTAATAATTAGATAATGGCTTGAGTTATAAGGCCTCAGATCACAAAGTCATTTATTAAGCTTATTTATATTCAACTTCAGCAACAGCCAACATCTGCCTTCAAAAGGCCTAGAACACAGTGCCCCTAACAGTTCTCAGTGGCTCTCCCACCACCTTAAAAGTAAGTCAAGCATTACCTTAAAGAATGGGCTATGGAGCAGCTGCTTGCCACCCCTCACAATAGGATCTTCATACTCAAACTGCCTCTGCAAAGCTTCTGGAAGCCCTTTCACCAAAGCCGCAAGAGCGCTGCCTGTGAAACTCTTAAACACAGTAAGACAATATGCTGTTGCAGAATTCAAAATGCAGGTGCGCTCCCTGTTTATTTTGTTCTCATGAGCCAAAGGTTTCATTATTTTAGTACTGCTCCACCTTAAAAGATGCTTCTTGAGGGAAGGGTAAAGGGATGAAAGAAGAGTTAAGACGGGTTAGGGAGAACACCAACTCCCCATGAGGAATGTAATCCTGAAGTACTGCAAACATGTACTAATAACAAATATAAAAACTGAAGAAATGCTTATTGAAATTCTAAGTAAAGACTAAAAGGACAATGCACTACAGTAAAAAAGAGGAGCATGACTGTTTGTCTCAGAACGCTTGGTTCTGATTTCAGCGAAGCCACTCTCAGGAAACCATCCCCCGCCGGGAGCAGTTCCTGTTGATACAGTGGGATGAAGGGCACGAACCACCTCACACAGCACACTACAGGGGGTGTGGCCATTCAGATGGTCCACAAACACCATCCCACATTCAGAGCTTTTAATGCACTGAGTTTTTAAAAAACACCAAAGTTCAACCTGAACTCAGTCTACACAGTAACTGAAGAAAAAGGCGGGAGGTGACAAAGGCCTCATCATGCCCAGCGGAAATTTCCCAACTCTACTCAATGATCTACTGGCTTACATGACAACGCAACATTTTATTGCCAAAGGGCCCAATACCTAGAAACTGTACTACAGTGCTCCTTACCAAAGTTCTCGTCTCCCCATCGTTCTCTCCAAGCAGCCTGTTTATGTTGATCGACTGCCCAAATTCCGTTGTGAGCAGCTTCCTCAGTCTCTGAAGAGCCCACATTCTGTGACTGGCAGCTGAAAAGAGCAGACAGAAGTGTCAGACGCTTGACTGCTTGACTGCTTCCTCCTAGCCAGTAAGACAAACGTGACTACGAAGGCACCATTACCTAAGGCACTCAACTGCGCACAGGCTGCCAGCGAGGCCGCAAGGCGAGGGACGATGCTTCTGTTGGAGGTGAGATTGAGTCGGAAGTCCAGAAGACAGGTCACCAAGTCCATTGATGGACAGGAGAGGACACAGCGATCAGACAAGAGGTCCTTGGGGCCTGCGAAGGAGCACTATGAACGTCCCTGAATGTGACTTGGGAGGGGCCACCCTCTAAGGAGATATCTGTAAGTTGGACCGACTAGGTCATTTGGAACGTATCAATAAAAGATGTGCCCACACTACAACTATCCACATGAGCCACACTCTTCACACTGACATTTCAAGTGTAAACCACTGGCTTTAAGAATTGCAACCAGCAAAAGCTTTCCCCATTGGGAGAAAACAGAATGCTAAGAGACCCTAGAGAAAAGGCTGAGGTGGCTCTCTGTGGTATGATCCTTGCCCCAACAAAATGTTTGGTAATGTTTTCTCCCAGCACACCAGGAGTAGGCCGACTGAAGTTACCTACGCTGCACGGGGAACACTCACAGCCTGCCAAACCGTCCCGGCCACTGCCCTTCCCTTACCTGCGGCCGGCATGATGGGATAGACTGTGAAGCGCCAGCCCCAGCCATTCACAGACCCATCGCTGATGAATTTCCACTTCAGCTCATCTCCTGGGATCCGCAACTCACTGGACCAGTCAGACCACTCTCGGCCTGGTGGAGACAAGCATACTCTGGGCGTAGGTTCAATCCATCACCCAACCAATACAAACTCCTCAAATATAAAGCAATGGCCGGGCCTGTAATCCCAGTACTCAAGAGGCTGAGGTAGGAGGATTACTGGAAAGTTCAAGGCCAGCTTGGGCTATAAACTGAGTTGAAGGCCAGCCTGAACTACATAGCAAAACCTTGTCTCAAAAGGACAGAAATTTTTAAAAATTTAAAAAAAGAAAGTAAATACAAAGCAAAATTGTCAGAAGATCACTGTCAGATCAGTGGGCTCTTCCAAGCCAAGCTCTCCCAAGGTTCCCAGGACACTGATCTGGTGAATGGTATCTTAATGCCTTCCTCTTTTCCACACATTCATTCTGCCCCAGAACCAAGTACTAGAGAATGTGAAGGTGGGTAGGCACTGCTCTACTTAACAGAAGCCATGCTGAAAGGAGAGATGATCTTTCTCTC